CGCAATCTCTCTCTCTCTCTTCTCCAGTGGTAACATCATACTGTAGTTGTCTCTACATGGGAATGTGTTTGATTTCTTTTCCACTTCTACGTATCTGTTTTAGACCAACATTCCATCATGTGGGACTCAAAAAGGCCTGACGGTTAATAGAAGTTGCCGTTGCTGATTCCTGCTTTTCGATTAAACTAAACTGCAAATCCAGTCAGAGTTGCTAATTGGTCCAAATACGCCCCTTTAACCTCGCGGGGGCAGATAACTGGCGCGGAGGGCGCACCGAGAGCAGTGCCACAGACGTCATACAAAGGAGTGGTGGTATAGTACCAAATTTTATCGGCTTTTGCAGGTATGACTCTCCCTTCTACTATGCCAAAGTCTCAAGTTTATTCCTTCTCTCTGAATACAAGCGTTTATCCACGCTTAATTTCTTCTACTGCCAAATGGGAAGTCTCGAGGCGTTAAAATTTGTATGTCTCTTCTACTTTCTTTCGTGATACCTTTTACAATGTCCGTTAATTTTCGCTTACTTCACTGTCTCAAGACTTTTTAAAAAGGAATGAGAATAATAACTCTAGAATTGCACAATTTGAGGCATTCGCTAAGCTGCCATGTGCTATTCACACTGCTGATTTGGGTGCACTTACCGAATAGCCTCATAGTTTTGATACATAAGGCAAGGAATGATTTTCCAGAGTCCTAAAACTCTCTTACATTATAGCTGCAGCGATGTCTGGAGCTTATTCTTAGCACATAAAGCCGTACACGAAGTTCCTTTTAGTTACACATGCATTTTGAGGGATCCAGCTTTCACCTTTGGTCTTGATTTTACTGGAACGATTTACGTTCCATTTGTGCTTATATCACTTGGACCTAATCTCAAAATGCAAATGATGAGTTTCCACCACATAAATTCACCGCTTTAAAATCATTCTGGTGTTAAATCTCTTTGACTGACTTTGACAGGTTTTGCAGCCTATCCACCTACTGTCAACCTGTTTGTCTATGCAAATCAGATGAAATGCGGGGACAAGTTTAATAATGCCTTCAAGATTTTGCTATAAGGATAGTAGTTTGGAAAGGAAGTAATTTGAATTTTTGCCCCAGAAGCTAGTAAAAATACATTGTGCGCAGGAACAGGAAGAAAAATAAAAACAATTTATGTCCTGTGCTGCTTTCTGATTACTTCAGACTGCTGCTTTGCACTCATAGAACAAATGAATGTCTGTGATTTGCATTACCCTTTTCTATCAGTGGTATCACCTCAGTCGTGTAATTTTACCGCATCACAACATCTATCACTGACCTATCAAAGACACTTCAGCCTCTGTTTTTGTTATTTTGTATTCATAAACTTAAAAAACGCCTCTTAGGCTCCATCCACTCAGAAACAGCATTCGTCCACCAAAAGTTACAGTCACCTTACTAAGTTAAAGATAAATGGACCACTAACTACCGCAGCAGCTTAGAGATGAACTAGAACTCATGATAATAAGTATGGTAAGAGCGTTAGCTAATCACTTAATTGACTTATATAAAATGAACGCCTAAATGCAAGGAAAAGTGGATGTTTAAAGTAACAAAATTTCACTAAAGGTAACAAACAGAAACTTGTTTAACTAAAAATTAAGTTGTACTCCCTTAACTCTGTCCTTCCGTAAATATAAAGCATAGCTAAGTTTTCAGTGTTTCATGTGAATCATCTGTTTGAGAATCAGGTACGGATTGACACAGGTAGTAAATTCTCAGGACAAAACTTGTAAACTTTCAGCGTCCCGTGTTCCAATGGCACAATTGACATCTCAACCTAGTAACATGGCACTCTCAATAACTCGTAACAACTGTGTCGAAAAGCAATGTGATGAAAAAGTGTGTGGACGTTATTCACCACCAGAAAGCATCGCATTAGCAGAATTTGCTAGATTTTCGTTAGCAGCACATCTCAAATTGGTTATCATTACTTTGACCTGTGGTTGCTTCAACGCTTTCGCATCTTTGGACTACTAATTCATAACTTATCACCATTTTATGCAAACAGCAGCATACAGTTATGTGGCGTAAGCCAGTCACCTCATCGCAGGTGCAGTACATTCGTCGACCACTTTGCTGGAGATGTTTGCTCGTGGGACCAGGTTTGGAAATTGCACAGCTTGGGATAGGCAAATCAGAATGACATTAAAAGGCTAAGCAATAGCACAATTGAGTCACGTGCTGATAAATATATTTGATCAGCATTTGCTAGCAAAAATAGGAGGCGTTCCGCCTAAGCTAATGAGACTGCATGTGTAGAACAAAGGCAGCTTTCATGTGCAGGCTTCAAAGTCAATCAAGCAACTACACTGCGTTCACGATCTTAACTAATATGAGTAGCGCTCTTGCCTTTGGAGGCTGCCTAATCTACAAATTTGGACTTGTCATCGTGTCGGAGCGGCAAGACTTTTAGTTGGCTTGTGCTCCAACTTAGACTCTGCTTTGTTTTCGGTTAAGAAGAAACGCTCTCATACTCACCACGACGCAGTTTGAGTGTCATTCTGCAAAAGCAGTAGATCGCGCGTCCAATTTCGCTTTCCTTCCGATAGTTCTCTCATGAAATTTTAAGCACTTATTCCTTGCCTGCTTTATTACTACCATCTAACATCTTTATCCAAGCCAGCGATTCCGTTCTTATTAGCAAACTCCATAAATAGTCAAAACCACGCAATAGCCCTAAAATTCGCCCTTCTTACTGCAACGTTGTTTACTGTAAATGGGTGTAATGATCAGAGGAAAGCAACCTTGACGTGGAGTGCGCGGTAAATAAGATTATACTGGTCAGTATTTATTTTCTTGCACAACCACGGTATCCGTTAAAACAATTCCAGTTACGCCCGTATAAGCTCCATCCTAAACGCATTTAATTAGGTGACAGGTAACAGGTTCTAGATCTTACCAGATAAAAGCTTTGACACAAAAATGAAATTTTCTGATATGAGTATTTTAATCTAACATTACTGAAAATTTTATACATTGTTGTGGAAGTGAGCTTTCTGCTGTTCATTGATGATGACGCCATTAAAAGCATTGTTGCTGCGTCATAAATAGGGATCAGCGCACTCCTCAGCTAGAGCGGCTAGACGTCGAATGTTTTCCGATGCAAAGAGTCCCTTCCGTCGACTACCCTTGGTAAACAAGGTCTGTGTTCACGGGTCATTTACTGGATGCCACAAGGGACAAAATTGAATCAGCAGGCAAATTCTAACTAAAGCATAAAAAGAGAAGAAGATTCAAAGCAGCATCCACCATCTATGACGTGGTGCTAAAGTGATGGGTGTCGAGTCTTAGCATAGTAATCACTGCTCGACACCTACAGCACAATTCATCGTTCCCAAAGTATTCATCACGTCCATCGCAAAATGTGCGACAGTAACATTAACTCATGCTGCTTCCTTTTTAACACAAGGTTGCAAAGGCTATGGTCCGTAGTGCCAGAATAAGTTTCGAGTGTACTTCCCTCGGAGACACGAATCAGTGAGTTGAAAAGTAGTCCCAGAGGGAGTTACTCTGGCTTTTAAAAGTAATACAGTGACAGCCAGAAAAAAGGGTCTAGTAAGTCAAATTACTGTCACTGCCCATACGGAAGATTCAGTTAATCCAAAAGGCAGGCTTTAACAAGTTATGAACAGTGCGAATTCCCGGTTTTCCGAAATTTGTAAATGTTTACTTGTGTTTCTGCTACTTGGCGTCCTATGAGTTGAAGATCTGGTGCAGGAAAGAACAAATTTTCAAGCGAAACCGGGATTACATGCTACTTAACTTCGTTCTAAGTAGAGAGGCTGTACTATATCACCATATTTCTTATACTGTAAAATCTGACTTTATGCATTTTTGCCTCTCTACTTTTGTCCAAAAAAGGTACACTGTCATTACTAAGAGCATAATGCTTACTAAACGAAATCTCAAATTAACAAAATTTGGGCTTGTAACTCACACATTTTTAAATTAGGTAATTTTAGAAAGTCGGTAATGCCTCTTGAAGTCAGACATTTCATAAGTAGCTGCTTAACACTCGTTTTTCGTAAAGTTAACAGAAGCATTAACTAGGCGCAATCAAGTGGTACTTTACTTTTGGATAAATTTATTGTTTTTGTGTACGCATTATGACTTCTTCGTTTTCTTTGACTTCACACATTCACTTATTTTAATAATCTGGTTGGTGTTTTGGGATCTCGTGATTACTTCGCCTTAGTTGAACATGCAGCAGAGACGAGTATTCGCAAGGTTATAAAAAAGGGATGTGGTAATTTGTTATAACTCAAATAAGCCAAAATATGCAGCTGCAAGTGACTCCTTTATTCAAATGAAGCTAAAAATTAAGTAGATGCGTACAATTAAACCCTTGCATCACTGTCAGCGACATAGCCTTGGATTATTGTGAGAGAGAAGTTCTAATTCTAAACGTATTCCAATATAGTAAAATACTGTAGATAGATGGATTGAAGGCGTAACTGCTGTTCCTGGGTCCATTTTGAATTAACTTGTTCATAGTTCTGCTTAATATCCCTTCTCTGCTTCTTTCCAAACATCGAAGTTAAGCAAGATTTAGCCTGCAACTTATAAAGGCATCGGGCTCAAACATCTGTGGTGGCTACGTCAGAGAAGGTGTATGGTGTCCTGCTGTAGCTGATAAATAAGATGTCGCGTTGAAGCCGACCTCACAGTGCCAAAATTCAGGCACTCGAACAAAAACAATGGCAAAGACAAACGGTGATATGATTTTATATAACCTTCAGTAAAACTACTAAGCATTGACACTACAGTGCGGCACATCCCATTAAACTAGCATAAAATCGCTTCATCAAATCAAATGAAAACATGTTGTATAGGTTTTAAAGCAGTCAGTTGACTCAAAACAACATGACTGAAGACAACTCGTTAAGCCAAAAATAGGTGCAGTTGCAATTAAGCCAGCTTAACTACTTGGAGCTATCTTAATAGCTGGAAGTGTCGTCATTAAAGGATTCGTCGTATCAACGGGAGATCTCAACGTAATCCCAGGCTTCCAAGTAGATACAGACGCCTTTTGTAATGTAGGGCTTGCAGTGCCAGAAAAGCTTGGTAGCGATCACAGGCCTTCGGGCAATGCCAGAGTTACCAGTTATTGCAGGAGTGCTAGCAATGATGGGCCTACCGATAACGATAGCTTTATTCTTCGCTACAGGCTTGCTATTAATGGTAGGCTTACTAGCTGCTGCAGGCTTGATAGTTACAAAAGGCCTAGTAGTTACTGCAGGCGTGCTAGCGAAGACACGTGTATCGGTAACAGCAGATCTGCTGGTCACCTCAGGCTTGCTAGTAATAAAAGGCGTGTTAGCAGCAGTAGATCTATTAGCTGCGATAGGCCTACCGGCGATGGCAGGCCTACTAGTTACAGCAGGCTTGCTAGAGATGAAAGGCCTACTGGTAACAGCAGGACTACTAGTAACTGTGGTAGATTTACTAGCAATTGCAGGCATTCTAGCGACAGCAGGCCTACTGGTTTTTGGTAGGTCTACTGGTTACCGCAGGCGTGATAGTAGCGGCAGGCCTACTAGTTGTGATAAACCTATTGGTCACTGCAGGCCTGTTATTTTCATAAGGCTCTAGAATAATGGTGGGCCTACTGGCAACTGCATATTTACTGGTAACGATAGCCGTACCGGTAAGTGCAGTCTTACTATTCACGGTAGGCGCACTGATAATTGCAGCCCACACTCAAAACCGTAGGTCGTCTTGTTTCGTCAAGCCAAACAGTAGCAGCAGCCGTTCTGATAATGGAAGGCCTTCCAGGAGCTGTGAATCGGCTTGCATCTACCATTTGAGAAGTTATGTTTTCCTCGAATCTATTGGCGAAGGTAACTGGAAATCAATATTTTGTGTATCCTACCGTAAACACAGACGGATCCGGTTTTGAATTAAAGGAACCCATTGTTTTATATGGCAGAAGACCTTCGCAGCTTGTCATCCAGATTTGTCTCAAAATCCGTACCCATCGACACGAAAGATACAATGGATTCATTAAAAGGCAAAATGACGTCAAATACAATGCTGTCTACGCTTGGAATAGATGCTAAGACGAATTAGATAAGTAAGGAATCTATACTTGATAGAATATCTGAAACCACTAATTTTAATGCTTGTGGCTCCATGCGGGCTGCGGAACTGTTGTCTCCTGGCCCGTAAGTCAGAGCTGCCTATAAAAGTTGATCCAAGTGTGGAATTTTCGCCAGTTCTGATTTGAACTCACTAGGATTCATAGAAGTCACTGAAATAGGACAAGTCGTTGTTTGCAATTGTGAATGTATGTAATTATCATTAGTATGGAACGTCATATCCATTCGAGGAGTTATAGTAAGGACCATTGTACACTCCATTATGCAATATCGAAAAGGGTGGAAGGTAATAAGATTGTATGTTGCTAATGTACATTTTACCCGGATCTTGTATGCCAAGCCTTTCTTCATTAGCAATACCTTCTGAGACATTGACATTTCCATTGCTAGACTCGAAAGATCCTATTTATTTGGCCCGTCATTATTCTAAGATATAAGGGGCAAGTTTAGCATGTTTCTACTGCCATTACGACTTACTGACAGCCCACCAAAGTGCACTGACTATTCTTTAGAATGTTGCGAGGAGGAAGGATAAAGTTCAGCACAATATTCGCCTATATTAGACATTTCAGACACTGAAGTTCATACAAGGGACGAAATGAATTCCTTTTTCTTGCCATTCAAATCAAAATATTCATGACTTAATAAGTCATCATGGTGGAAGCGAATTTGGCAAGCGATTCCATCCCCTTCCACGCTCTTGCTTTTGATGTATTCGCCCTCATTTTTCCTTAACCCTCCCCAAACACAGATGGATTCTGTCAATTCGATCTGTAGGGCTTCCCCTCTGTCCCCACACCACTAAATCATGGTGTGTCAGGCAATTCAGGCCCATCCCGTCAACACCGCCACTGATCTTCGCCCTGTCTTATTGCCTTGATAATTCACTTATCCATTGCAAATTGATGGAGGCTGATTTAGCGAAAAATTCCGTCCCTTCTCACACACTTACCTTTAACTTGCCCGGCTGCGCTCCTTCTTCTTCCATCTTCAAATCTCTGGCTTCTATTCTGTTCCCACGCCAAGCAATTTAGGCTACATTATTCCTCCTTGCCAGTGATGTCCTGCCTACGTGCATGAGTGAATTAGTGAATTTTATGCTGTTAAGCACATTTACATTTCTTGCTCTTATTTTTGTCGTGCTTGTGTTCTACTTCCACCCTACAAGTCTCTTGTGTACCTACAGTAGTATGTTCTTTCGCTGTCCCTCACGTCTTATTAACCCTACATCAATTTTCTTTGCTGATACTTCCGGCATTTCTACATTCGTGGTATCTGTTTTTCTATTTTATTTTAACCGTGTCAACGAATTTGTTAATAATTCGCCGGATTCGCCGCTGTAGATTGGGATTTCGTGTTCTCTTTGTCGGTTTGTGCTGATCAAGTGTTGGTCAAATTTGCCATAATTATCGACCAATCGACAAATACACACTGGGCAGACAACTTTACACATGGCACCAATGTTGCAATCATATCCGTGAAGCGGTCCACTTAAGCACTTAATATCTTGACACTGTTGGGATTCGTAGAAGTCTTCGTGCATCGGTTGATTGCACCCATTTCAATAGCCGCAATCACCACCTTAGCAGCCTTATATACTCTATGCTAAACCGCCCCACGCCTCTTGCATTCCCTTCCGAGGAGAGGCAATGGTTACAGCAACATGACACAGCAGTTTGTAATAGACGTAGTCGCCAACGCCGTCACTGCATCTTTAGCCAGTAGTTGGACTGAATTGACAGTCGAATGAATAGCAGCATGGAAAGTTTTTTTGCGTCGCATAAACAGCACTCCAAACTATGAGACATCCATGTGCAACTGGAATAGCTCATACAATTTCATTGCAGTAATGTAATGTGTATCCATTCATATGTAAGCTTTTGCATACTTTATCTAAAAAAATGTTTACATGATATCGTTCAAAGCATTGGTTTGTTGTCTTATTTATACCTAGCTGACCCCAGGTTTTCTGTCCAGCTTTAAATGTAACCTTAAAGTTACCTCTGCCACAATCGTGAAATTTCACACTTGACTGTGTTACCTCAAGCATATGACAATTCGAAATTTGACTTTATGACCCATGCTATGACATCGGTCGGATATTGTAATTTTCTGCCTTTATATACAATTTAATTTGAATTGCATGTATAGAGGTGAAAAACCCCACGGTTATATCCATGTAGTTTAATCAGAAAAATCGGCCCTCAGCTTTTTGCATGGCCCTGAGACTAGCTCGACCAACAGAGACAACATAGCCACTTAAGTGGCCGCCATATAAACAACGCCCTTAGCCCTCCCTTCGACTACTCGTATAGGGTGCTTAAAAGCAGGCATTATGGACTGGGAGTTTTATAGACTCTAGATTTTGTCTGGGACTCAAAGCTGAAATCGTGGTCGAAAAACGGACGTTAAATTTAATGTGAGATTTAGCGCAATCCCACTAATGTAGGAGTTGGCGAAGGTAGACGTCACTCTGGTCTCCTCCGCTGTGGAGAAATTGGCGATTCTCCCAGCCACAAAACAGGAACTTTCTTTGAGCTAGAATGGAAGGACATAGAGCTAAAGATTGCAGTCATTTTTCCTAGGCAAAAGAAAAGTGGATAAAGCTGATGTCACGGGCACGATGCAGTGATATGATATATTATGCATTATGTGAGCTATTTTTAAGCATTCATAGTGGAGGTTTCACGTTCTCAGCTAAATCTTTAAGTCGTGAGTCTAATCACATCTCGCTGACTGCATATCTTCATAGTTGGCCTTCAGAGTGTCTTAAGTTTCCTTTGGCTGCCGCCATATCTTGTGAATTGAATTCAGTCCAATGTGCCCATTGTTCGACCATGCACTATCCTACTTCGCAAGGCAATAGCAAGACTAATCAACCTCTGAAAGAGGATCTCTGATGCCTTCAACATGCAGAACCTCCTCCATCTTACTCCTCAAGTGCCATGATGAGAGGAATTGTGGCTCATCCAATTCGTGGCTGTGTTGCGAATGATCGGCAAGGCGAAATGAGGCGGAACGAAGGTGATTCCTTCTTACCTTGGCCACTCAGCCTTGATTGACTCGCATCTTAGCACCAACAGTTTTGCGGATAGCAGACACTCCGGTTGACACCCAATGGTCCCACATCGCATGACACCGAGACGTGTACAAGTACACTACAGTACCTACTGGTCTCCCATGCAATGCACTACTTTGCATCGCATTGGCTGTCCAGGGCACGCATACAGACTTCGACCACATGGAAGCCAACCCTTCCACTCTGACTATCTGACTGTGCTGAAGAAGATTATCCCAATCATTGTGCCCTATGCTCTGAGCACTGTGATGGGAACACAGTCTGCAACTGTGCTCAATATGGTCTTATGGTGGTGCCTTTCACCTCGTCTCGTGTGTCAGATGTCACCTTCACATTGCCAACCTGACCTCAATGCACCACACATTCGAGGTGATGGGTTACAAGGCGGCCGAGGAGGAGATTGTCAGGCACGATGATACTCCAACATCTTTTCACTTGCTAGTCTTTAAAGCCAATTTGAGGTCGAAGCTATGAGGGAATCACCCATTCTACCACCAAACACAAGCGTATGCTGTACATATTAAAGCCAATGCACATCACCTCCACAATCCGACAATGCGAAATACGAGTTCTGTGGTAGCCACCTCCTTCTACACCTACTCAAAAGACCAAAACTATCATCCTCCCTTGCTGGAGACTTCGACTTGAACGGACACTTGCAATCCTCCCTCCGTTGGGGATCAAAGCCATACAAATAGCCTGCTGACTGCGTGCTCAGACCAAACCGAAATACCACAGCCTACTAGCTGTTGGTTTAATTAAGACGTCACTTGATCGTGGAACCGCACTGCCAGTACTCTGACCATCCATTCACTACAAGCATGCTCACACGTGCTGCTAAACGTGTGCTCGAAAGCAAATGTGACGCGAAATACTGAGGCGCATATAACAGCATTTAGTGAGGCACCGAGATAGTCTGAAATTCGCTACCGTGTAGCATCCCTTCCGCAACAAACATTGAATGCATGATCGTCTGCTCATCATTTGCAATCTCACAGCAACTCTCGGAAGCGTCAGCTCAATTCCACAAACACAGTCGCACCTCTCGGGCAATAACCCGCAGTTTAGCGTTGTGGCGGATCAGATGCAAAACATTCAGTGTATGCTTCTGCATCACACTGCTTCCCCATCACTCCATAACGCCGGGCGGGAGAGGGTCCTTTCGCATGGCCAGTGTGGATTCCTACTCTTCACAGTTTTGCATCTCTCCGCATGAATTTAACTGCCAACCAACTTACTACCCATCGTGCACATTCCACCACATAACTTCAAATGAACCCCATCCACACTTCCTGATGGTTACGAACGGTCTCTTGCCAAAGTCGATGAGCCCACTTCACGAGAGGTGGCAATTTCTTTAGTTGCTACTCAGTCGTGTGCAGCATGTCTGCCGTGAACGCGCTTGGGAAGCAGACGAGTAGGTGTCTCACCCTAAAATCACAGACTACGAGCCATACACGGTGTTCGTCCCATCACCTATCCTGATAAACGCATTACAGGGAACATTACGTTATGTCGGGGAGCAGTGCCACCTCCACTACAATTCCCTCCGCACTCCAATGAACTCTTCACTCTCCCCTCAATCTCAATGCACTTCCACCTCGCAATGCTGCTCACACTTCCTTGCTCTGTCGATTGGCCAAGCATGTCATACGTATCACTACCTCCCTTCACTATGTGCGCAACCTCTTCCAAAGCCTGCCATTTCCTACCCCATCCAAGCGCTCTCCTACGTTCAGTCTGTGATCCATTCCATCCGGAATTTGCACGACTCGAGCCGTTGCATCCAGTCTGCAGAGGTGACGCCCACCATGTGCACACCAATCGACCTCACCCACGCCAATGTCAAATTGGCATATGACTTACCCCGCCTTGCAGCACATTCTGCAGTCCATCCGTGCACCCCTCATAATGAGATGCCCAAGTCGTGAGATCTCAAGATACACTGATCCCACCTTTCCACAAACCACCTGCACAGCTACCACAACTAGCCCCTCCCACCAACTTGCCTCCTCTTCCCTAACCATCGTGTATGCTTTGGTCAAACTGCCGTTTTATGTAACCATTATTGGCCCATGTACACCTCCCTACTCACACCCACGCACCATTCATCAGATGGCTCGACTCACATCCAAACAACTACTGAGACATCCAACATGGTGTTACAATGGTCAGCGTCACAGCGTCATCGTGTCGTCAACTTTACTCCTTGCCTCAGTGTTCATTCCCATCCTTAAACTAATGCAGATAAACATAGAATCTACTTCCACCTACCCGACATCAAGTCTCAAGCTGATGCTATTTCCGACTGGGGCATGCATGATATCCACTCCTTGCACACCACAGACCCTCACCACCTCTCCCTCCTCCCACCAAATTTAAGATCACAGTCTACATTTCACACTCACTCATGCACGCACACATGCTGAACATATATAATAAGCACATACCCAGGTGCATTAATTCACGACGAAATGTAAGAGGAAGCATGTCCACATCAGAAAGAAAGGGAATGTCAACTATTTAGGTAGTTCTGTGGCCACGGTGCTCTCATCTGTGGTCACTTGTGGAAGGGGGTCCTTAAAGAGAGAATCGAACACAAAATCGAACGAGCTTGTTGCATTGGCCAAATGTACGTTGATGGTCTCCAGCATAGACGCATCCCATTTGCGCAAAGTATTTGCGATAGTTGGCAGAGCACTGCGCACTGCAGCCAGTTTCTCCGGCTCCACGAACACTAGCAACTTGTCGATGAGAGGTATTACCTTCCGCATCTCCGCCAGCTCATTGTCCGTGAAGGTAGGCGGTTCAGTCACAATAGTTGTCTGTACCGTAGACTGCGGTGTTGGCGTTGTTGGTGTTGCAGTGGTGAGTGGTTCCGCAGGAGCATGCACTGCCAACCACGGCAGTTTGGCTACAAGTTCCTTCACTATCGCATAATCCATAGCTTGCAAGCATTCGGCAATGTTGGACAGCTTGCCGAAAACTTCCTCCAACGTGGTGGTGGGGAGGCTCGACAGAACTGCGCCAAATGTGGGCACATGCGCAGCCACGTACTGAAGGGTTTGAGCACTCATGTTGGTGAGGAGAGCAGAGGGATCTTGGTGATTCTCCACGATGTACTGAACAAAGCCCGCATCCAAGCCCAACAACACGTTAGCATATTGAGGTGGAATGTTGGGCACTGCAGACAAGGTGAGTTGAGTAGGATTGGGATCAGTCAGAGTTGTCTCATCGGACTTCTCACTGGTAGTAGGCTGTGGCACTGTGGTAGCAGTTGACTTCGCAGTTGCAGCAGCAGTGGTGGTGGCAACAGACTCCGACGTTGTGGTAGCAGGCACTGACGTCGTAGCTGCTGCTTTCGCCTCTTCACCCAAAACCTTCTCACTCGGCACTTCGGCCACCTCATCTTTGCTGCTGCCCCCATCAGTGCCTAGCAAAATGCTGTCGATGTTGGGTATTGCTACCAGGACGGTCTTGAGGAGTGCAGGATTCATGCTCGCCACCACCTCCTTGATGCTCGGTGTCCATGCGATCATTGATTGCAGCGTGTGCGGATCCATGCTGGCAGCATAATTACCAATTCCTCGCACGTGCATCAATGCAGATTGGAGGAGTACTGGGTCCGCAAACATGACAAGTTGATTCAGGTATGGCGTATTCAAGAGCAAGGACTGCAGTGCCACTGGATCCATGTTGTACACCGACGGAGAGGAAGGTGAAGGTGAGGGAGGAGGGTAAGACTGCTTGTTTGCCTGAGGATGTTTGCGACTTACAATCTTTTTTATGGCACGACCGATTGCGGGGTGGTTGGCATACACCTGCTCACCGTTGGGCAACGCGTACATTGGAACATTGTTGCTCTTCATGTAGGCTATCAGCTCTTCAGCTTCAGCGCCATCCACTTCGCCCAAATCCACCCAACCCCCGTCCATTTGCGTATTCCCATCAGACGAGCACACAGCACTCTGGCAGGATGGAAACGTTGGCTGCTTCGGGTAGCCGATGCAATTAACCACGAGGCAGCCCACCACAAGCGCAACCACAACACCCACCCAACGCATCGTGACAGTGTGATGTGGATCCATCTCGACTTCGGCTTTTATAGACCACGGTGAAAGGATTAGGGTGGAGGGAGTGTGA